TAATACTCTACCTAGGGCGACAGAGTGAAGCTCTATCTCAAAACATGAATTAATTAATTAAAAACCTTTACTAAGATAAAGGAACAGTTAATTTTGAAACCCTCAAATAAAATATTAGAATCATATCACCATAATACTCTACCTAGGGCGACAGAGTAAAGCTCTATCTCAAAATGAATTAATTAATTAAAAAGCTTTACTAAGATAAAGGAACAGTTAATTTTGTGAAACCCTCAAATAAAATATTAGAATCATATTAACCCCACTCTTAAATTTTTACACTTTAAAATTTTTATTCTGGGTAGGCACAGTGGCTCATGCCTGTAATCTGAGCGCTCTAGGAGGCCTAGGCGGGTAGATTGCATGAGCTCACAAGTACAACATCAGCCCGAGCCAGACCGCATCTCTAAAAATAGCCAGGTGTCATGGTGGCAGCTCTCAACTACTCAGGAGGCTGAGGCAAGAGAATTACTTGAGCCCAAGAGTTTGAGGCTACCATGAGCTGTGATGCCATAGCACTCTACTGAGGGCAACAAAGTGAGACTCTGTCTTAAAAATAAATACACAAAATAAAATTTTTACTCTGACATTTAACTGACCTGGTTATACTACTTTTTATAAAACATGCATGAAGATGCTTCCCATTTGGGGAGAACTGGGGGTCTCAAAAAGAGTCTGGTAAGGAAGTCACCAGTAAGGTTTTCTTAGAGGCAGGCATCCTTCCTGAACAATGTAACTCCATAGCCCATGTATTTCCTCTGCTTATAAAAGTTTCTTCACATACAGGCAGTACTGGGTTACAAACGAGACAGGTTCTGTAGGTTTATTATTTTTTTTTTTTTTGCAATTTTTGGCCAAGGCCGGGTTTGAACCCGCCACCCGCAGTATACGAGGCTGGCACCCTACTCCTTGAGCCACAGGCGCTGCTGAGTAGGTTTATTCTTATGTTGAGTTTGTATGTAAGTTGGAGAATAGCCCGCTTGTCAATGTGAGTCACACGTCAGTCAGATGTTTGTAACTCGGGGACTGCCTGTATACCTAGCCAGTAAATTTCTAGTAAGGCTCCTAGGAAGGCCAGTCACCAGATCTACAAATAGATATTTTATGTTATAAACTTTGCTATAACTAAAGTCATGCGTCATGACCTACTGATGGGGTATGTTCTGAGAAATACCTCATAGGTGACTTCATCCATGTTTGAACATCAGAGCATGCACTTTCATATGTGGGATAGCCTACTACACACCTACAACATGTACTGAATACTACAAGCAACTGGATCACAGTGGTCTTTGTATATCTAAACATATAAACAGTAATGCATTGCCCCATGACATTACTATGGCTACCATGTCACTAAGCTACAAGAATTTTCCAGCTTCACTGTATCTCATGGGACCACCACCATGCATGTAGCCTGTCATTGACTGAAACATCATTATGTGGTGCATGACTGTATACCAATAAGGCTTAAGGCAGGGGTCCTCAAACTTTTTAAACAGGGGACCAGTTCACTCTGTCCCTCAGACTATTGGTGGGCCAGACTGAGGACCTGGGACAAGTTGGCTGCTATGCAGAACAGGCAACAGCGGCAAAAACACCTGGCGGGCCAGATAAATGTCCTCAGCAGGCCGCATGTGACCTGCGGGCTGTAGTTTGAGGACCCCTGGCTTAAGGCGTTTTCATGAGTATTAAGATAATTCCCACTGATGCTATTTCTAGGTTTTCTTCTTTGTTCTTTCTTCTTCCCTATTGGACATCATATCACATCAGAAAATGAAAACCCCTGAGTAGGCCGGGCATGGTGGCTCACACCTGTAATCCTAGCACTCTGGGAAGCCCAGGCAGGTGGACCGCCTGGGCACACAGGTTCAAGACCAGCCTGAACCAGAGGGAGACCCCGTCTCTAAAATTAGCCCGGTGTTGTGGTAGGCACCTGTATTCCCAGCTACTCGGGAGGCTGAAGCAAGAGAATCACTTAAGCCTAAGAGTTCGAGATTGCTGTGAGCTGTAATGCCACAGCATTCCACCAAGAGCGACATAATGAGACTCTGTCTCAAAAAAAAAGAAAAAAGAAAACTCATGAGTAAAAAGCATTTACTCTTAAAGGACAGCACTCTTTACTGTGTAGTTCCTATGGAAAAAAAGTATTTTAAATACCTTATGTATTGTTTAGTTCTAGCACTATGGGAGGCCAAGGTAGGTGAATTGCCTGAGCTTAGGAGTTTGAGACCAGCTCTTGAGCAAGAGCAAGACCTTGGTCTCTAAAAATAGTGGGGCATTGTGGTGAGTGCCTATAGTTCCAGCCACTAGGGAGGCTGCGGCAAGAGGATCACTTGAGCCCAAGAGTTTGAGGCTGCTGTGAACTATGTCACCACAGCACTTCACCAAGGGCAACAAAAATGAGACTATCTCAAAAAAAAAAAAAAAAAAGTTTGTTTCTACTTTATGTGTAATAAGTGAGATACATTTTCCCTGAAACCTGTGTTTTTATAAATTCCTGCACTGATATTGAAGGATATTCAATGTATAATTATTTCTAAAGTTGACTTTTATTTATGGAACCCAGCAATTTAATAAAGTAGAAGCAACAAAATTCAGACATTTCAGGGAGTTATTTCCTTATTGACTAATAATGCACCACCAAAATATTAATGGTTTGGGCCCAAAGCAGTGGCTCACACCTCTAATTCCAGCACTTAGGGAGGCCGAGGTGGGTGGATTACTTCATCTCAGGAATTGGAGACCAGCCTGAGCAAGAGTGAGACCCCATCTCTACTATAAAAAGAAAAACATTAGCCAGGCGTGGTGCCACGCGCCTGTAGTCCCACCTACTCAGGAGGCTGAGGTAAGAGGATCATTTAAGCCCAAGAGTTTGAGATTGCTGTGAGCTATGACGCCATAGCACTCTAAGCAGGGTGACAGAGTGGTGTGATGCTGTCTCAAAAAAAAAGAAAAATTAATGGTTCTAAAACTGCTCTAAAAAATACTCTCTCAGTTGTTCAGCTATCCAAAGTGTTTGGACTGTTCAGTATTATTTTAAGAAATATATCTAAATGGAACAAGATATTTGAAAGCTTTCCAACAGACTCACTTTGACGATAAATCAGGCTCGATTTTCTATCTCAATACTTACATGTGGGGAATATCAACTTGGGAGAAACAGGATCAGAAATATGTCTATATTGGTAAAGACTGTCAGGATTCCTTATCCATGTTACCTCTGAAACTCTTCCTTACTTTTCAAGAAACAGTCAGAAGTTTAAACAAGACTTCATATTTTAATCATGCAGTGACTCGTCTCATAGGAAACTAGAATATCGTCTATTACCTATGGAGTCTGCAATTTGTTAAAATTCATCAGTTGAAGTAAACTGCATTCACTTTCAGGCACCATGCAAAAACAAAAAGACTAAAAAGCTTCTCTGTGTTTATACAGTCAATAAAAATTTATTCATATACTCTTACCACAAAATGTACACAAAACAGTGTAATTACAACTTCACACTCACCAACAGGATTGCACATCCACCACTAAGTAACTGGAAAGGCATTTGTTAACATTGATCTATTTAGAGAGCGTCCAAAACTGTTAAATTATCAACACTTTATACGGACAGTGTTTTAGTGTTTACTCATCCGGGATTAAAACCATTTCGACGTGTCTTTGTGTTTGAATCTATAAGGAGTTCTTTATAGTGTTAATGCTTAGCATTTATTGGCCAAAACACAGTGTTTTCAATTTGCCTTCCTTTGGAAAAAAAAAAAAAATTCGGGTTCAAAGGCATAAAGACTACCGTGGCTTATGAAGGGAACAAGTCTGTTATACAAAAAGCGGAACCAGACTAGGACAAAAATGTGGCACCCAATGGAGAAAACAAACAACACCCCTCCCCCCAAAAAAAGTGACGGTGAATTATTAATACAATCTGCAACGCAATGTTCATACTAGACCTCGTCACTGTGCATCTAGGTTTTTGTTTGATTCAAGGAAAGGGGGCTGCGCTCCCCTCCGCCGGGCAAATTAAGGAAGAAACTTAGTCACCTAGGCAAAACCGCACTGTTAAAAAGGGCTCTTTCGATCTTAGTGTGATTTTTCAGGCTGGTCCTGTATCTCCTAATTTCTGAAAATGTGACGACAAACGATAGCAGCTTTACCGAGCAGCGTGCAGCAAACGCTTAAGTGATTTCAAACGTAGGGATCTGATACACAAGTAAAAGGCACCCCGGTACGGAACTATGTTAAATAATGTGTTTATTCCCAATTCGGCAGCTTCTGGAAACATCACGAGATGACTCTACAAAGGCAAAAAATGAAAAGTAAACAGTAAGAGAAACCGCGGTTCCTATCAGCCGTCACGGATTTGGGTCCTTCTTCGCAGCCAGACAAAAGTCTTTGCACTATCTCACCCGATCTATCGCGTCGGGTCACTAAAATGACTCAACAGCGACGGCCCTCCAACTCACGCTTCGGACGACAGACAGGGTTGCGTAAATTTATATCTAAACTGTGCGCATAAAAGTGGGGCAGAGGCGCTATCAGTCGTCGGCTGCGGTAAATAACACCAAGGTCCTCATTTCTGGTTTCCTTTTTCTTTTCAAGGAGTTAGGACCGCGCTCGTAGGGCGGGAGGGCTTTTGCCGGCAAGGCTTTTCCAACGCGCACCAAGTTCAAAGGGAGTCAGGGAGGGTCTAGGGGACGCAGAGGCAGCCCAGCGCTCAGGGGCCACGGATGGACCAGGTGAGCG